TTTACACGTGTATGGGATTGTGTGTGGTCATGTGTGTATGTGCGTCTCTCGTCTTGTTTCTTACAGTCAACTAAACTCACGAGCTGGGAGGGCAATCCAAAGTAGAGGACACGAAGATACACGTGCGTGTGTGTGCGGCTGTACGTGTTTGCGAAGCGTCTTTGTGGCTTTGTTACCGAAGTCTATATGGTGGCAAAGGTTTCCGTATGTGTGTGTGATAAAAATGTACGTATATATACGGATTGCTCTGTGCTAGATCAACTCTATGCAATTTCACGTTTTTGATGTTCTATATTGGTGTTTGTACACGAACGTCTATATGCTCACAGGACAGCAAAAGTTTGACCGAGGAGTATGAATAACTACTAACCTGATTTTTTGTCCCATTTTCGATTTAAAATTGGGTATTTCATTTCCGATTTCACAGCAAATGCATGGTGGTTTAGGTAGCAAAGACGTACAAGTGCTGCAGCAGAATCTAAATTTTGACCTGCCGATAGCCCGAGCACTCGAAGGTATAGATTGCCATTCTGAAGTGTCTCGGATAAGTCGGTGCACGCATATTGTGGTAGATATACGTTATACGTTAAATTTGTGCATATTTACGTCTTCACTTGTTTCCGTGTCTGCGTATTTGATCATACATATATTCCTACGTAGCTACATATGCATGTTTCTATGGGGATATAAACGTATATATAGACCTATGAATCTACATATATATGTTTCTATGGGAATATAAACGTATATATATAGACCTATGTATCTACATATGTATGTTTCTATGGGGATATGAACGTATACATAGACCTATGTATCTACATATGTATGTTTCTATGAGGATACAAACGTATATATAGACTTGTGTATCTACATCTTAATTACAGCTAAAAGCATCACCCTATACACATAAACACCAAGACTTGTCATTGCATATACACTCATGTACCACCACCGAGTCCTATTTTCCACGTCCTCTATGAGCCCTCCTACTAAAACGCTTGTTTCCTGTCCCATGTGCGCGTGGTAGGTCTGCAGGGGGTGCAGCTGATCTTCTTCATCTACTACCACTCGACTCTGCAAGAAGTGTATGTGATGCCGTTTATTCACTCTATTCAGTTCCATTGCGACTTTTCAGCTCGAGTGCGTATGTGTGAGTGTGCAAAGTACATGTGCAAGTATATGTATTTGCGAGTTTTCAATGTACTTGTGTACGTATTCGTGAGTGTGAGTGTTCAATATACTTGTGTATGTATGGTATGTGCGAGTGTTCAGTATACTTGTGTATGTATTCATATATGCGAGTTTTCAATGTACTTGTGTACGTATTCGTGAGTGTGAGTGTTCAATATACTTGTGTATGTATGGTATGTGCGAGTGTTCAGTATACTTGTGTATGTATTCATATATGCGAGTTTTCAATGTACTTGTGTACGTATTCGTGAGTGTGAGTGTTCAATATACTTGCGTATGTATCAGTATGTGTGTGTGTTCAATATACTTGTGTATGTATTCGTATGTGCGAGTTTTCAATATACCTGTGTATGTAATCGTATGTGTGAGTTTTCAATGTACTTGTGTATGTATCAGTATGTGTGAGTGTTTAATGTACCTGTGTATGTATGCGTATGTGTGAGTTCTTCATGCGCTTGTGTATGAGCCATGTTCATATGTGTGTGCGTGTTTAGCTCACTCCTATCTATACGTATGCGTGCATCATGCAGTATACATCTCTTAGTCGCCTATTAATTCATTCTCTCACACACTCACCATACATCCATGCTCACACACTCATCATACATTCATGCTCACACACTCACCTTTCATTCGTACTTACACACTCATCATACATTCATGCTCACACACTCACCATACATTCATGCTCACACACTCATCATACATTCATGCTCACACACTCACCTTCCATTCGTGCTTACACACTCACCATACATTCATGCTCATACACTCACCATACATTCATGCTCACACACTCACCATACATTCATACTCACACACTCACCATACATTCATGCTTACACACTCACCATACATTCATGTTCACACACTCACCATACATTCATGCTCGCACACTCCCCATACATTCATGCTCGCACACTCCCCATACATTCATGCTTACACACTCACCATACATTCATGTTCACACACTCACAATACATTCATGTTCACACACTCACCGTACATTCATGCTCACATCCTCGTTCACGCGTCAGTGCGGATAGCGCCAAGAGGAGAAGTGCAAGCCGTACCAGCCTAGGCAGCCACTCTAGTCTGGACCAAACCCAGTCCCAAACTTCCAGGGCAGGTGCAACACACTCGGACGGCAACAGCAGCGCTACCACCTCCCCGGGCACGGGCTCCCGTCCCGCTTCAGCCCACCACGACCATACCGGGACGGGCAAGAGCTCGAATAACGGCACACAAACCGATCCTCTGGCAAGCCAAGCCAGAAGTAGTAGTGCCAGTGCTAGTATTACCAGCAGCGCGCTTGCCTCCGGGCACAGTGTCGGTTCGCTTATGGCCAGTGGGACCAACTCGTCGCAGTCGCAGGGCAGGACGATGCCGGCTGGTCCTAGTGTCAGTGTCAGTGTCACTCTCCCGGAGGACGAATGCCGCAACTGCCGTATGTGTGTGTGTGTGGGTGTGTGTGTGGTGGGTGGTGTGTGGTGGGTGAGTGTGTGATATATATGTGTGTGTGTGGGTGTGTGTGGGTGGGTGTGTGGTATGTGTGTGGGTGTGTGTGTGATATGTGTGTGGGTGTGTGTGTGATATGTGTGTAGGTGTGTGTGTGATATATGTATGGGTGGGTGTGTGATATGTGTGTGGGTGTATGTGTGATTTGTGTATCGGTGGGTGAGTAATATGTGTGTGGGTGTGTATGGTATGATGTGCGTGTCCGTATGGTGGGTGTGTCTGTGTAGTGTGTTTTAATTTAGAGAGTCTGTGTATGTGTCACATCAGATATATGTTCATGTGGTGATTTAGATGTGTGGGTATGTGCGAAACCGATTATGTGTGTATATGGGTGATTGTATGTTAAGTTTGTGTGTGCATGTGGTGACTATGTTAGAGATGTGTGTGCATGTATACATAGTATATGCTATGTCACACGTCACTCATTATCCAACCCCCTCATTTGCACAGATATGACACTCGAAGAGATTGAGAAGAAAGAGGTAGAAGCACGAGCACAGGTAGACGACACATATGATACGTCGTCCATGGGCTCAGTCAGTAGCGACGACAGCTCTCTTGACGTCGATATACAGAAGAGTGTGCGCAGCGTTGGGGCCATTCCACATGAGATAACCATGCAGGTATGGGTGTGACTGCGTGCATGTACATATATATATATATATATATTTATATATTTATATTTGTACGTATTACGTTTGCCTTCATGACGAACAAACACAAAGAGCTACGTACATTCACATACAGGTTTGTTGAAACATAAACCTCATATCAAGCTATTCCGAACGACTATCCCATGTGTACATGTTTACAATACATACCCACAACTATCTCATGCGTAATTATTTAATCCTAAACCAGAAAACCATAGATCCCCTAAAACCTTTAAACTATAAAACTGTAAAACCCTAAATCCCTAAATCCTATACCCTAAACCCTAAACCCTGAATCCTAAACCCTACCTTTGCCCAGCCCACTATCGATGGCCCGGAAAACAAACTGTCTGATTTTATCACTCGCGAGAACCATGAGCACTTAAACACCCAGCCGCCTATGGGAGGAGTGCTGCCCCATCAGACGTGTATGATTGTGCTGGGGTCGTTCGGATGTCACATCCTGGCCAGAGAGGTACTTCCTATCCCGTCTGTGTGAGTGTGCTGTGTGCTATTGAATATGTGTGTTGATATGTTGTGTGTGACACGTGTGTGCACACTCGATTTGCTTTGTACATGTTTTAATACAACTTGACGGCTCAAAAGGCCGCGCGTGTCTAGATACACACATCGAGTTGTGGTTCAAGCATTCTTACCTACCCACACGTCACACAAACTCGGCCCAACACACGCCCAGACAGCCACGCCTGCCTAAATCCGTGCACATGCCAACATACATACCCATCAACTACACCCGCGTACACTTGCACACTCATACACACTCATACAAACTCATACACACTCTTACACACTCATACACACACACACAACCACACCCACACCCGCGTATACTTACACTAACACACACACACACACATACGCATACACACATATACAACTATGCATGCGTACACGTACACACACATACACACATACACACATACACACATACACACATACACACATACACACACAACCACACCCACACCCACACCCACGTATACTTACACTAGTACACACACACACACAGACACACACACACACGCACACACACATACACAGCTATGCATGCGTACACTTACACACACACACACACCACCTATAACTACACAAGCTTGCACTTACACATCCACTACCACACCCCCATCCCCACTACCACACACACTCACTCACACACTCACTCACTCACTCACTCACTCACTCACACACACTCACACACACAGCTGGCACGTATTGGCAAAGGGGACATCATCAGCTACGTCTTCTATCCGCGTGGGTGTGGCAAGTCATCGGAACTCAAAGAAGACAACACAGAAGAACATCCACTGGCCGATCTACGGTCATTTATCCGCCGCATCAAACAGATCAGAGGCACAGAGACACCGGTCATTCTGTGCGGCTTTGCGCTGCTGTCAAGTGTCGTGCTTAACTATGCCAGGTGTGTGTCTGTGTGATATATGTATATATATATATATACACTCACACTCACACACACACACACGCACACACACACACACATATATATACGCTACACCACTAAACTAGTAGCCTAGTGAATAAACCTGTAATTGTGCGAGTCTAACTATTGTCTAAAATCACTCACAATATATATATACGCTACAACACTAAACTAGTAGCCTAATGAATACACCTGTAATTGTGCGAGTCTAACTATTGTCTAGAATCACTCACAA